GAGGAGAGGAGAGGAGAGGAGAGGAGAGGAGAGGAGAGGAGAGGAGAGGAGAGGAGAGCATCACTCAAGGATGTCTCTCACTCATGGATGGCTCTCTCTGCACCTACACAAGATGCTGTCTCACCCAAAATCCATAAAAGGCATTGAAAGAGCCACAAAAGCTGGCAGAGGACTGTCTCCAGCCCATGCTGGATGTGTGACTATGTCTCCTCAGCCCTTTGGCTGGTGTCTAGGGCAGATTTCACACAGATGGGACAGGAAGGAAAACCCCCAGGGTTCCGTGAGGGATCTGCCCAAGGCAGGCACAGGGTGAAGGAGGAAATCCAGCACAGCCACTGCCCAGCTGGTCCCCAGCTGGTCCCCAAGTGGTTGATGGGATCACAGAGAGATGCACAGGCAGGAGAACAGGGACCTGGGCAGCCACAGGCAGCAAGGCACCACTGCCATGGCCTGTCCAGAGGGAAAACACACTGAAATCTCTGGCAGAGGGAAAAAGAATGCAGATTTTCTGCTTAGAAATGAAAATGTCACTAGTAAAATGCAAGTGTCCACTTGGGGGTGGTAAAGCATTTCAGCTGTGTCTTGAGGGAGCAGGAATGGCCTTTTCTCTGCAGGCCTTGTGTGTGGCTCTTCCCCTCTCCAAGGCTTGTTTCTCAAGACTGCAGGTGGTAAAAAGAGTTTGAAAATATTCCCCTTAAGCTCCAGGAAAAGAGGACTCTCCAGTTGCCATGAGTCTCCCACCTTGGAGTCCCACAATGAGAAAAAAACAGAGAACTTTGGGGCAAAGAAAGAAAGAGACCAGTAATCAGGAGTACAATCCCTTCCTCCTTGGTAGGAAATGTCATCTGGATCCCCTGTGACCAGAATGGAAAATGATTTTATGCACACAGTGTGTCATCTCTGAGGAGCTAATGTTGTTATTTGCTGTGATAACTCTGTGTTCTCTGGCTGTGTTAGTGACTGCCAGTCCCCTGGTGACACTCAGGGGACGATTCTCTGTGGCAGTGCGTTCCAAGCCTGAGCCCAGCCTGGGGAGCAAACCCAGGGTGCACACAGGAGGCATTTCCCTGAAACACAACGAACAGGCTTTGAAAAGTGTGAGACAGAGATTTACAAAATTCTTTATCGCATAATGGACCCTCCCTTGGCAAAATTCTACAGGGGCCTGTCCCTGCAGTCAGCAGAGCCCAGGAATTTTCACTCTGATATGGGTGTACTGCCCTCAGGATCTGTTTGCACCACAGGGATGCAGGGAAGTTTTTCAGACCTTGTGGCAAAAACTGAATTTAGTAGATGCAGTATCACTGCAAAACTCCCAATTTTATTGCCCTTATATATCAGGTTTGTCCCAGTTCCCTCTGTTGGGAGTGCTGTCCAGGCTCCTTCCTGGTGATTGCTAATCCTCGTAGATCTCTGACTTCTGCAGTCCACCTGGTGTAGGAGCACTGAAGTCTGCTGGTGCACAACCACAGGTCTTCGCTGGTGGAGACAACACATAAATATCTGAAGTTGAAGTGATGATAAGAAGCTCAGAAAGCAAAAGTTTGCTTTACATTTGTCTTACAGTTGTTGGCTCCCTGGTTCTTCTGGCCCAGAAATAGCTGCTGCTGGGGGCTGGTGTTTATCAGCCCAGCTCTGAGCTACTCTCATTCTTGCCTGTCTGCTGGTGTTGACAGGAGAGGTCTGCAACAGGTTGTAACAGAGGGAAGTGGGACTGGCTTACCTAAAGCTAGAAGTGGGGAGAGAAGGTTTATGCAGAAAATCGTCCTGTTTCAAAATAAGTAAAACCTGATGTTTTGGTTGCTGCACGAGAAGCTATTTGGTAAGACTTGACTAAGCTGATTTTGTCTCCT